GGGCAAACTCCCAAGGCCCCTCCTCCTCAGCCTAGGGTTCTGGCAGGCTCACAGGCTTGGGCAGCATGGGGATACTGCATTTGCCATATTCTTCTGCAGAGGGAGAAGTTAAACATTCAGTCTCAAGCCACTTATGCAGAAGTCAGAGGACTAGAGATGGTTCGCACTCCATTAGGAACTCCCTGTCTTGTATCCAGTCTCTCACGTAGTCTGCTCTTCTGTCTTCTTTTTCTTCTGTTTCATCTGAAGAAGTGATTTGAGATCTTTGGTTGAGGGGTTTTTTGTTTTGTTTTGTTTTGTTTTGTTTTTGCTTTCTTCTTTTTTTTTTTTGTTCTTGTATTCCTTATCTTTATCAGGTTTCTTCTTCCCTTTTTTGCTTTTTGAGTCATTTTGACCTCTACCCTCAAACTTCACCATTGCCAGCTCCCCTTCTGGCTTTTCATTGGCCCCTTAGGAGATGAAATATCCCTTCCCCTATTTCTTTGCTTTGTCTCTCATTGATTTCCCTTTGGAAGACCTGGAGGCCTTTTCTGAAGAAATAGTGCTCTCCCCGCCTTCTCCGGCCACCAGCTACTTTTTCTTGCTCTTGGGGGCTGTGGTAGCTAACTGGTCTCCTGACAGCTTCCGCTTCCGGCTTTTCCTGCTGATGTTCTTGGCAGCATCAGCAGTCTTCTTCCTTTCCTGCTCCAGCACCTCTGTCACAACCTTCCTCAAAGCATCCCGCACCTGGGCCTTACTCAGGGGCCGGACACCCCCAGGAAGTACTGGGTGGTGCTGCCCTGCAGTGCCTGTGTTGAGTCTATGGAGCTCTGGGCTCCCTTTGTGGGCTTCACAGATGTGGTGCCTGAGGTGGCTTAACTTTATACCTGTTTTAAAGGTAATGGTGCGTGCTGGCTGAGACTCCAGTCTGCTGTCTGTGTCATCTTTGTTCACCAGAGTAGAGGAAAACAAGGGGCTGCAATCTGGCTTTGCAATCACTTTGGAAGCCTGGTAATTGGCGAGGGTCTTTCTCTGGGAAGGGGCCACCAGTTCATTCTCACTGGACTCTGCTGATGACTCCTTCAAAAATCTTCTTCATCAAGGGGGTTTGACCGCCAGAAGTGGAGGACTGCGTGGGAGGAATCGGGTCCTCATCCTGGCTCTCAGAGGAGAAGTGTTGGGTGGTGCTACCAGAGACCCTGTCTTTCCTCAGGGTGTTCCCACCTTGGGCCTGTGTAGGAGTGGCAGCTGGGCCAGGTGGACTATGACCATTAGGGTTGACAAAAATCAGAGAGGATTTAATCACCTGGATTGATGGCCATTCTTTGCCACTGCCGTCTGAGGACACCTCTGCATTCTCAGTGGGCCTTGATGTCAGGGCCTTGCCTCTGGCAGTTTTGGAGGTACCATCCTGGTTGGGTATTACTACAGGGAAATCTTCATGACTCACAGATGGCTCCCTGCTGCTCTCCAACTCCTTTATTGGCTTCTTGGCCTCCAAGGTTGTGGTCATGGCTCCTCCTCTGACTTGGGATGTCATATCCTCCAACTTCCCAGGTCTTTGGGCTGTCCCTTTCACTGAAGACTCCTTGGTGGCAGCTGGTGAGGCTTTCACATCCATGTTTGTCTCATAACTGGAGCTGGAGGTATCCTCACTGGAGCTGGAAGAATCCTCACTGGAGCTAAAGGCCATCCTCCCAGGAGCTGTCAGCTGGGCCCACTGTCATGGTCCCAGGCTGGGTAGAGGATCTGTGTCCCGGGACACTTCCCTCCTCCTGTGTTTCTGACATCATGATAGTATTTGCTGAGGGCTCTGTTGACTTCTTGGGTATATTCCCAGAGAGGTGTATGGACCACTGACTTTGACGCGCCAGGATGGGGCACAGAGTTCACTATCTTGGAAGATTTCTTGGGCTTTGACTTGGCCTTCTCTTTCATGCTTAATGGCAAACCTGCCCCACAGCTGAGATATTGGTAGATGTGAGTCTAGGGGTGGCTTTGACAGTTTCGGCTTCTGCCTCCTTCTCCTCTTCTGAGCTCTCTGAGCTGCTGCAACTGTCTGATGTTTGGTCTTCTTGCCTTGCAGGGCTGCACATTTCTCTGCCTTAAGCTTCCGGCCAAGCTCTGAGTTCTGTTGCCAGTGTGTATAGATGTCCAAAAGAGTAAAAGGCTGAGGCAGGAATCTTTACTGGCTCCTCTGCTCTTTCACTGACTGAGCCTCATGTATATATCCTGACTGCACCAGATGCTCGTAGATCAGGGTAAGCAGCTCCTTCCACTGTCTTGCTTCAGTCATGCCTGCAACCCAAGACAGCCGGCTCATCTGCAGGCCACCCTGTGTTCTTCTGGGCCCTTAGATCTTTGGCATCCCACTTCCAGCTTCTCCTTTCTGAATTTCTTGTTTGAGAACAAAGAACAAAAAAAAAAATAGTGTTTTCAGAGCAGAATCTAGTAACAAAATATTCATCTTACATGTTTTCAAAGGGAAAGCAAATATAAATTGAAAAAATTAAGATATCCCATTTGTAAATATAATTTGCAAATATTTTCTCTGTAGCTTGTCTTTTTACTTTCCTGTCCTCCCTTCTTTTAAACTGCTTAATAGATTTTTTCTATCTCTGAGACAGTGACAGCAG